CTGATAAAATATATCATCTTGATTTGGATCTTTTTTAATATCAAATTGAATATATATGAGAATTATTAAAGGATCTTTACAGTCTTTCACTTTTGAATAAAATGGATTAAAGACTTTGCACAAATTCCAAGATTTTTGGGATTAAAAATTTTTTTTGTATAATATTCAATCTATTGCAAGACTAACTGCAGAAGAATATAAAAATCTAATAAAAGTTATGATTTTTGTAATGAATAACATATGTGATAAAAGTATATAGAATATAGATATTAAAGAATTGCCAATAATTTATCAAGAATGAAATAAAATATACAATATATAATTAGTAGATATAATGAGTTTTTCAAAAATAATTTAAAAAAATTTGAGGTATGAAATAATTGTTTATTTAATTATATTATAAAATTTTTAAATTATATTTTATAAATTAAATATTGATTATTTAGGTTCTATAGCACAAATATATTCTTTTTATATTTCAAATGCAACTAGTGAACTTAATTTTATTGAACAAGAAATATCTGATGAAAAGATGAAAAATATAATAACTGATATGGCTTATGCAATATTTATTGAATCTGAAATATTTATATATGAAGAAAATAAAAACAAATTAGAAACTACAATATCTACAATATCTAACATTGAAATGGATTAATCTTTTAGTAATACAAATTTAATACTTGAACTATTGTTGATATTAATTCTGTTATAGATAATTTTGAAGATCTTGATAAAAAAAAAAGGAAGAAATTAATTATGGAACAATAGAATTTGATATTGATACAATGTTAGATAATGCGGATTTTTTAAAAAATATTTTTTTATTTTACTTTTATTATTTGTCTAGTTGATTACAATTTTATTAATCAACTGTTTTTAATATATTGTGAATTGTTCTAAATGACATAAATTGAAATTTGGAACAAAATATAGTCCAAATCAGTTTGGAATTTGGAACTTTCCATATCTAATTTGGACAGCAACTATAGATTAGACTATACATTGTATTGTTATAGGCTCTCTAGCAAGCCTACTCTCAATGTCATTGCTTCCAATTACAATAAGATAAGTTTTTAATTCTTGATACATGTTTCCAATTTGGCTATTTTCTTACTTTAACTTCTTTATTGACTAGCCTAGAACCCTTCCAATGCCAATTCCATTAGGCAAATCTTGGTTCTCTCTTATAATCATATAGTCCAAGTTACAAGTCTACTTTGGCATACTAAATACAAGGTAAGAGTTTATTCATTAAACATTACTTTATTGTTTATTACTTAATGCATTACTATCTAAGCTTGCTTTTCTTCCTTACATGCTAATAAATGGTACACGTATTTATATACCTGTTATTTACATGTTACATCTGATCACTATTCTAAACTACTTTACAAATTTCCACCACTAAACTTTCCCACACCTTAATTTATCCACCTCTAACTTTTTCCACTGTCAATCTCATAACATGATCATAGCACCAGATCATTCAGATTCAAACTCAGGAATCTAGAACTCTTATTCAAAAACAACCTACACAAAAGTCTAGCAAAAATATACACCAATGATCAATGACATAGGGTTTAATATATTGGTTTTAACTTTAGTGTAGTGATTTCCAAGTCTTTTTTTGTGTGTTTCAAAAGATACTGATATTACTTTAAGGCAATACCCTAGCCTCTACTCTGACAACGTGTGCCCGAGATGCCATGCATATTCTGAGGACTTGCCATATATTTTCTCTTGCATCTACAACAAATCTCTAGTTAATAAAAAGAAAACCAAACTGGAAAACCTCATTTTAGATCTGAACTAACTACGTGACGCGACAGTATGTTACGTTACTGCGCCTACATTTTTACCCACGACAGTATATATTATTAATTTTGCCGTGATTTAACACTTAAAGATCGACGATCAAGTGTTGCGTTCTTTTTGGGAGACGGTTTAGTTGCCTCATCTCAATAATTCAAATTCTTAACACGACAATTTGGCAAACAAAAAAATGTCAATTTCGGTAGAGTCGCAACGGAATTCGAATCAATCAATGAATGAATTGCAACAATTCGAAACGAAATTAATCAACACTTCTACTTTGAATTTTTAAACGTTCACGTGTTTTATGAATGTACAAAATTTCATAAATACATATAAACAGAAGTATTTATTATCTTAATACATGAATAAAAATAACTAGCAACACATGTCCAACAGAAATTTTTAAGACGTTCATTATTTTTATGCGGGGTATTCCACTTTAATTGAAGTCATTTCCACTTTCACTTTATTACCTTTTTCATCAGCATGTTTTGCTAATGCAGTAATCACTTTTGCGGCCGTATCGCTGAGATTGGACTTTTCAATGGTCGAAGAGGAGCTAACCAGTGTACTGACGGAGATTCCGCATGTTTGGAAGTAATTATCACTATCAGAGACATTCTTACTAGATTTACAATCTGAACAACATCGGGATGCCATTTTATTTGATAAAATTCGACAAATGCTAGGAACTTCGAGAGAACGGAAAGTCTACCATTTTATTTGCAAATGTAAGAAAAAATAGAGGTGAAACATCCACTCACTTTACAGTATAAATCAAGTACAGTATTTGGGTGAAATGAAATATTTTACATACTAACCTAATTGGTAATATAATTGGTAGATTTTAAAAGTTTTGATATTCAACTTTGACTCGATCCCTTTATATAAGTATTCGAGTAAAATAAAATATTTCCCACACTAACCTAATTTGGTAGATTTCAAGTTTTAATATGATAGATAATTCTGCCACTTTGTCAATTTTGGTTAAAGTGCAATATAGGTGACCACAGATTAAACAATAGGATTAACAATAGGTGTCACCTATACACCATTTTAACCTGCTATCAACTAGACTCATTGATTTTGTCAAAGAGCTACCAGAACAGAAGAGCTCCGCTCTGGAAAAGTAATCGAACATAGCTTATATTCTAACGTTCTTTTTTGTTTTATAATTTTTGAAGAAATTGATGATGATGACGGTGCATAATAGTAATAATAACCAATATTGAGACGGCAACGGATGCTAATGAAGCAACTCGCTGTGAATTCATTTCATCCATTCTGTAGTGGTACCACAGCCGTACGGTCGCATCGCTTTCCCCATTTGAAGCTACAAGTCCCTTAATGGGGATCCAATTTTTAACCGGGCCCCTGTCCCCGGCCATTGTTCAGAAACTTACCAAGGAAGAAAAACTCTATATTTCACTGCAGAAGGATGTATCTGGCGAGGAAGCATCTGGACGAGTTGATTGTGCAGAGGGAAAACCTCATAACATTATTATCGGATATTTAAAAGTAACTAATTATTCTACATTATTACAGTCTTTGGACGTGCCACATTTAACTAATTTATATACGGTTATTTTAGATAGAACATCATTTAACTCGAAAGCGCATATCACACGAATAATAAAAAAAAGGACGACTGAACAAGTTTGGGGAATGACGACTCCGACTATCTCTACGGAATTGTATCCACGGATATGGATTGAAATTTTCTTGCTTTCACTACTGATAGTTTTTATTGACCAGTACGAACGAATATCAACTCAATCTTTCGAAGACGGCGATCAAAGAAATCTCGATACACTAAGAATGTAAAAAGGATAATTGGGATCATTTCTGGGGGATTGGGTAACGGGGATAACTCTAAGCTACGTATTATAAATTAATAAAAATACAATCGAATAAAATTATTGGCTTTAATTTAATATATAAGATAATATTAGTAAAATAAATAGATAAATAATATACAATTTTAAAGTTTATTTAAGTTATTTGTATTGCAAATAAATATTTATTTAGATAAATAAATAATTTTTTAAAAAAATTATATATATATATATATATTTTGAAAAATTTTTTTTTTATGTTTTAGCATATAGATATGAGTTTCGCTCCATGGCCCGATAATTGTCCTATTAATTTAGCTAATTATAGCTAAATTAATTTTCAAAATTAGATGTGCATTAATTTAACTATTTAAAGATAATGCACATGATTAAATACTTGGACATAAAAGGAACCATTATCTCATTTTTATTTTTAATGTAATTGGGTTATAGTTGAGACTAGAGGATTAATATGTACATACCCTTCAATCAATCTGATATAGTCAGCGGAGCCGGATAAAATCTGTACATAACATTTGCTTGTCGAATGACTGCAAAGCCGCTTATGCGCGAGTAGTACCACAGCCTAATTATTTGAGTTTACTGTACATAAATTTTTTACATGGGCCGGAGGAAATGATTAAACCACTATAAATTTCTTTCGACAAAAGAATTATAATTCCTTTCTAAATTACGGTGTTGTCGACCACTGTAGCATCAACATAAGAGGATGGATTCGTATTTCCCACATTATAATTAATCATATTCACTATGTCAGTATTGCGCAGAGTGCATGGCAAAGTTGTGATTGTGCTCCCCACATCGGCATTGGCGTCACTAGTGTTCCGAATGGGTCAGATCGGGTCGGGTTCGGGTTTGACCCGATATGACCCATTTGATAATGTCCGGGTTTGGATCGGGTCAGATTCGGGTTATATTTGATAAAATTTGATTGGTTATCAATCAATTTTTTTCGCAAACATTATTTTTCTACTTGTTTCATTGTTAATTAAATTACACATGCATTCAAATAATTCATTGAATATATTGTGAGAAGTCGATTCATCATATTATTCAAATATTTGCCCTACCATTTGTGAATGAAAAGTGTCAGTGCGGCTGGTCTATAATTCAAAAAATTTGAAGAGCAATGTAATCTTGTACATGAAGTAAGATCACTTCCCGATCAAATTCTTGATTATTTAGAAAATTATTTTTTTTTTTGCAATTTAGAAATATAATCCTTTTCAATTTAAAAAAAATATAAAAAATTTTCATAATAAAATGAAGCAATGGATTTTTGGCTAATTAAAGCATTGGAAATTCTTAGTGACTCAATACTTCAAAATAATTAAAATTTATTTACATGAATATTTTTGCTTGTATGCTAATACCCTTTTCCTGCTGCTTATCTAATTCTATATTATTAATCGCTTCCCAGTTTATTTTTCCTACAGATATCTTTGACATCGTAATTAGTTCTTAATTATGATAAAGCAATTTATTAAATTTTATATATGTTAGTAAAAAAATTATTTAAGTAGGAATTAAATTTCATCGTTGATCTGAAGTTTAATATCAATTTACCATATAGAAGCCTGTTCATAAGCCTCTTCTTTCTCAAGTTGAATAGCAAAAGAATAACACAACACTGATACTACTAGGTCTTCAAGAATAAATAAAACTTTGTGAGTGCAATAGTCTCACTGTATAAATAAAAATTGATAAATTGTGTTTCGGCTGAAGACCATCTGAAAATATTTAAAAATTTTCGACAGATATTTTGATTATTACAATAAAATATCTGTTTTACTCTTATACTTATTAATGTCGTTATGTCGGTCAACAACAATTATTACAAAACAGGCACAATACGGAAACCTCCCCAACATTAAACCAAATCAATTCATTATATCAACGGCTGACATAAGTATGTTCACATCTTCGCATACAAAAAAACCTTACCCATCAAACCCAATCGTAGGGTACATCAAAGAAGAACAAGAAATTAAAAATTTTATTGCCATTGAGTACAACAACACCTGTTCGCGATCTTGCAAAAAGGTTATATTGTGGTGATTTAGTAAATGCATTGGGCTTTTGGGCTAACGAAGAGAGCTTGGATGATAATGACCAACAAAGTCCATTGTCCGTAGATTTTTTTTTGGAGAAGGAAATATTAATTGTAAAAGGTGATTCACAATATTCTCCATTTATCACTTGTATATAAAATTTTTCTCGTTATATTTATTTTTTATTATATATTTTGAAGTTTTATCGCACAATTCCTCAGAGCAGTTTATTGGTTTAGGTGGCCTAGAAGTTGATCCAAGTTTGCCACTGGAATTATGGTCAAATAATTTTCTAGTTTAGTTAGATTCTGTGAAGAAAACAAGAATTTCTGATAAAGATTGGATACTTTTTGCACTTAGTCCCTTAGGTACGCAGATGGCTTTGATTAACCAAATTATTTTATACTCGTTT